AAAGATCTAATAATCTTGTGAAGAGAGGCATCAGAACCTACAGATAAGCACTGAACGCCCATGACAGAGGCAATAGCAGAGCGATACCCCTCAATAGTATTGTGCTTCAAATTGCTTCTGCTCTCTTAAGGAACATAGTAAAGTCCGCTATAACGTGAATGGTGACAGGGGTGTCCAAGATTCCACGCTCTCTTCTCCACTGGATAAATCGTCCCCACTTAGCGTCGTACAAGGCATCCGTGGAAGGTCTAATGGATTCTGCAATAGTTTTGGTACTCCCACTGTAAACCTTTGCTTCTTGAGTGAACTTCAGATAGCTTCCACATGTATAACGCAAGCTGACTGAAGTTCTTGTGAAACCTGTTGGACTTGGGCTGACTGATCACATTGTGCCACGGAGGGAGACGTAGAGGTCTGTCTATCAGAAGTTGTAGTAGTGAGGGGTACCAAGGTCTGGCAGGCCACACTGGAGCGACTAGGTATACTAGACAGTTGTGCTGTCGAATGTTTAGTAGGACCTCTGGTATAAGCTTGAACGTAGGGAACGCATAGGCTATCATTCCGTCACAAGAAGATGGAAAGAGCATCAACTGCCCAGGCCAAAGGATCCGGCACCGGGCTCACAAAGGTTGGAAGGCGATTGTTCCTTGAAGTCGCAAACAGATCTATGCTTGGCATTTCCCAAGTTTGCCTATTAGATCGAATGCTTCCGCTTTGAGAGTCCATTCGGTAGAAATCACTCTGTTCTGCCTGAATAGAGTCCGACAATAAATTTATTTGACCCGGTGTGGGGCGCCCTGATGGTATATCTTGTGGCATCTGCTGCCTGAAAGAGCTCCTGAGTGATCATTAGTAGTTGTCGAGATTTGGTACCGCCCTGTTTGTTGATGTAAGCTACTACCGTGGAGTTGTCCGACACCAAAATGAGATTCTTCACGTGTAAGTGACGCACCCAGCTTCTGAACGCTTTTAGAAGCGCCAACATCTCCAGACAGTTGATATGTAGATTCTCCTCTAGAGGACCCCACAAGCCTTGAGTCTGCCAAATATCCATGTGGGCTCCCCAACCCAATTTTCGAAGCGTCCGCATACAGTGTCAGATCCGCCAATTGAGGACATTGGGAAACTCCCGGTAACACATTCACGTCTACAGTCCACCAAAGTATCTCCCGACGAACCCTGTCTGAGGGAGTAATGAGAAAATCCGAATCCTCCATCCGAAACTGGTTGAGCCAGATCTGCGGAATCCTCAACATTAGCCTTCCTCTTACAGTATAATCCTGGATTGAAGTGAGAGATCCTAGAAGGGACATCCAGGAGCGAACCTGTGCAGTTGGCTTCTCCAGCATGTTGGTTATCAAATTTCCAACCAACAATCCTGAGGAGTGTAAATGCGACATGCTCTCGAGTCCAAGATTGGACTTATTCGAGTGGAAGGTATCAACTCCAACTTTACTGGATGCACTATTAAACCCAGTTGAGTAAACACACGGATGATTAAGTTCGTTTGTCGCATGAAAACCGCGGTCACCACATGCCTTGACAAAAAATCGACCAGGTATCCGTGAATTGCAATCTGCCATTGATGCAGAAAGGCTAAAATCGGGGAGAGTACTTTCGTGAAAAGCCACGGTGCTAACGATATTCCGAACGGCAGTACTCGGAATTGAAATCTGGGGCTGTTCACAGCAAATCTGAGGTATTTCTGAGGTGATCTCGGATGAATAGGATTATGAAGGTATGCGTCCTTGAGATCTATACTTATGAACTTGGAATCCTGGTGCATCAAAGTGCATAGATTTGCTAGAGACTCCATCTTGAACTTTGGAGGTTTCCTCAAATATTGCTTGTTCAACACCTTTAAGTCTATTATCATGCGTATTTTGTCCGTGTCCTTTTTGGGGACTAGAAATACAGGTGAATATAATCTGCATGTCCGGTCCGATGGAGGAAGTTCTATGATCGCCCGTTTCTCCAGTAGCTGATCTGTTGCTCAGTTTGCTCCCGCTAAGTGTTGACCTTGCATGAAAAACAAACAGCCCTCTGGAAAACAAGTCACTGGAGGCCGGTTGTCTCAGGGAATTTTAAATCCTCCGCTCACGGCTGAAAGTATCCACTTGTCTGTCATTGCTAACTTCCATTTGTCTGAGTACTGGGCCAATCTGCCCCTGACTGAAGACTGAGTTACCCGGATGTACAAAATCTAAAATCAAATCAACATCAAGGGACGTTTCGGATTCGTAAGGAGGGGAAAGCCGTACAGTGAGACCTGAGTCAATATTTCCTGGAAGTTGACCTTGATCCTTGAAAAGACCTACCCCTCCTACCTCTACCCCTAGACAAGGTTGAGCCTCTGGAAATAGTGTTGCTTGCGGAACGAGATCTAGAATCCCAGGCTCGTTCAAACGCAGCGTGGGCCTCAATAGCCTGTTTATATTGTCCATTAAACGAGTTTCCTTTCACCAATACCGAAGGTTACTTACTGAGTCCAATCTCTGGATTCGTTCAATAGCCGTAAGGCGACCCAACATATTAACCTGACAGGCCATAGCATCGGCTAGCGACTGATAGACCATATCCAGGAATGAATGTGCTAACACCACCTCCTAAAAAGTCATGGAAACCAAAGTGTCCTTTTTAACCCCCGTATAGTCCTGAAAGACTGGAGGAAGCAAAGCGCCAACTCCAGCAGCAAATCAGTTTGAGTATGAAAGTGTATCAATGGACGTCCGAGCTGCCATGTCCAATCCCTTAAAATCCTTTTAAGTACAAGGAGGTACTAGCTCCCTTTAGCCTCTAACATCCTGCAAATGTGTAAAGTCCTTGTCTAGGTTGGGTTGACTGGCCGGGATAAGACGAGGTGAGGTGAATTGGGTTTAACGTCGTGCTTGAGAATATTTCGCTCATATGACGATGTGCATGCTTGTGTATATGTATGTGCGGCTGCTTGTACTAGCCCAGACTTAAGCTGGTTTTATAGTGCTAGCTCACGGAAATACCATGCTGCAGTGAAGCATGAATACTCCACTCTGACACATTATACTGACTCCGAGCCAACCAGTCCTTGTTGTACCCATTAATGCCGAGCGCCAGGCAGGGACCAACAAGTACCATATTTTAACGTCTTTTGGTATGACGCGGTCGGGGATCAAACCCGCGACCTTCCGCTCTCTGGGCGGACCCTCTAACCACTACACCACGGAGGTGGTCAGATAAGACGATCATGGATGGCATAGATTGGCTCAGAGAAACCCTGGGCAAAGAATTCAAATTTGTAGCCTTAGAGAGGCCTAGGTTATAATTCTCCAACACTTTCTTAAGTGAAGACGAGTGCGGTAACGACAGCTTGGGCACCCGTTCCGGCGGTAAGCATCCCGATAAACCCAGCTCCAAGGGTATACCTATCTCCTCATCTTCAGACGGTTGTGGAGGAGTATTAGGATAAAGACTATGCAAATGTTCCAATTTCTCCTAAAATGTCCAGCCCGGCTGTTCCGTCAACAAACACTCTCTCATAGGAAACTCCGGCTGTGAGAAGGGATACAGCGAAGAAGCATCCTGATCAGCCACGTCAGACACTTACAGGATTAAGGGCGGATTGTCCGTGTGAAAGTAACCGTGCGGGTCCGTAGCCGTGTCCTCTGAACCGCTAGGCCCGTGCAAATCGGACTGCTGGGTTGACAAGCCCCTATTCATAGCCGTTGACCCAGTGGCTTGGCTTAAGCCGGGACGGGAATCACGTTCCGCCTGCACCATGTCAGACCCGTGAAAGCCTTGCGGCCCAGTCTCCTCGTGAGAGAAGGTAGCAGGCTGTGAGAGACAGGGATACGCCACGGGTGGTTGGTTCCCGGGAACAAAGGTTGTGGAGTGTGCAGCCTGAGCTACAGTCACCCCGGACCCGGAGCCAACCCTGTTCCCGTCACCTGAAGCCCTAGACTTCTCCCGAGGAGACCGGCTTTCTGCGTACGTCAGGGCATGGTAACCGGCTTTCACTGTCATACCCTGATTTCCGCAGTAAACGACTTTGCCTCCCGGCTCGTGCCATCGACCACCAAATCGTTGCTGCTATCTGACGTCTTGCCGGGTAAATATGTCTCCTCCAGGTGCTTAGATAGCAGACTCAACTTGACCTCGTTTCTGAGCTCCATGTCACGTAATGACTTATCCATAGCGGCCTGAATATCTGACTTGAAAGCGGCTAGTAATTCCGAAATAGCAGTCATATGCACATGGGTAGAGGATTTAGATTTGGACCTAATTCGGGATTTAGGTTCGGATTTAATAGACGAAGATGGCGATCCCGTGTTGACTTTCTTAGATTTAGAAGATTCAGATGATGAAGTGTTCTTACACATCCTAGCCAAGGAACGAAATTTCTGCATAATAATCCAACTCTCTTCAGACATTTCCTGACACAATAGACATCGATCTGACAAGGAGCACGTCAATCCTTTAGAGCATGAAGCACAAAGGAAGTGGGGATCGATGTCCGCCATAAACTTTTGGCATTGGAGACAATTGTTTTGAGTCATATTCATCTTGTCAAAAAGGGCGGGAAAATTTTCAAAGTCCAAAAAACAAGAAAATATACGTAATACAATATCAACCAGAAATGCGATTGAACATTAATATGGAATGCGATTTGTAACTGACCTATTTAGGAAGAAATGAAGACTTGATCATAATAAAAAGAATTCACTGACTTCTCTACACGTTTTGTGTGTGGACCATACAGAAAAATTATGAAGGGTTGGAGATCAACAATACAGTGATGTCAGGATCAAGGGAGATAACTCATGGATAGTTTAGGCATACCACTAACTTAGTGTTTAAAATTTCATTTGATTTTGTGTATGTGTCTGTGGAACCACATGAATAAGGCTACCATAATCCAGAGGGAATGTTTACGTTATAATTAATGTTATTTGGAAATGTTTCATTTGCTTGTCAGTTTTACAAAACAGACATAAGCGAAATAATAGATCAACATGTTGACAAAATGACACCTGAAAGATCTACATTACACAAATGGTCCACTACACAACATCTAGGACTAAATGAGTGCTCAGTTCTTCTGTTTCACTTTCCTGCGTTTCCCACTTTTCATCATCGTCTCTTGCTCTGTTTGAGATACTGCTATCTTCCTTTTCTGTTCCAACTTCCTGCAATACACAAATACCGAGTACTCTGACATATTTCCTAAATGACTGCAAAATTATATACAGAACTCAGTATTTACCCTTCAAATGCATAATGAATCATATTGCCTCCAAATGAGAGTCATCAGAAGATGACACATCCCCCTTGAATGTTGCAATTCACAAATGAAGTTTGGCTACATATACTCCACTTTTGGTTCATTTTCATCCAACATCTTCAGATCAGTGAAGAAAAAGATAATGCTGCTCAGTGATTTTAATATACATTATTATCCAAAGGCACCCATTCACAACTAGACTGATCTGTATTGCAAATTTCTTCAAGAAATATTTAGTGCTTTTAAAGTTACACTCCAATAAAGTAGGACCTTCATTTTTTCGAAGTACAAGTTCAAATGGACATCATGAAATATATCGACAGACATGTTATCGAGATATCCCCATTTTTCAATACTGTTTCAGTAGGGAATCATTAGAAATTCATAGTGTTGTGTTTTAACAGACATACATTCTCAGGAATTTATTACTATCAAGCCTTGATATGAAATTGAAAATTTTAATATAAATTGTATATTTATATACTTATCCTATCTCACGATTTGCACTTCTCTCTCCTACTTCGATGCTGAGTGGAACGAATGAGAACTTTTCCTGTAGGCCTCTCTTGTCCATACGCCCGTGTTCCCCAGGATGCTCTTCTTATAGGACAGGTCCCTAGTCCCAGGCTAAGCGTGCAGCACGTTCCCCTGTCTACCCACGTGACTACCTCAGAGTGATCATTCTCTTCATGGAGCCAATGACAGTCATACGTAACAGTCGTAATCTGAGTAGAGGGGAGGCTGGGTGGGCATACATCTCGTGAGTTAGGATAAGTATATAAATATACAATTTATATTAAAATTTATTTTTGTTAAAACTTATCCTATCTCACGATTTGCACTTATCCCACGGTTGGACAGGGGGTCACAGATTACCCTAAGCCAAAAGGCACTGACAGTATATACTGTATAGGCTAATGACAACTGTAGATAGCAATGAACAAGGGAGGACGGATCTGACAAGCACAGTACCTATACTAATGATGGGTTCTTCTGAACCTCTTGACGTACTAGGAGTGGGTGCTCCTGAGCAATGTGGTGTTCGGCCGCAGAATCCAACTAGCATAGTATCTATACTAGTGATGGGTTCTCCTGAACCAGTTGGCGTACTAGGCATCATCGCTCCCAAGGAGAGGGTGCTCCTGAGCAATGTGGTGTTCGGCTGCAGAATCCGACTAGCATAGTACCTATACTAGTGATGTAGTGATTGGTTCTACTGAACCTCTTGGCATACTAGACATCATCGCTCCAAAGGAGTGAGTGCTCCTGAACATGGTGTTGTTTGGCCACAGGATCCGACTAGCATAGTACCTATACTAGTGATGTAGTGATGGGTTCTCCTGAACCCCTTGGCTTACTAGGCAACATCGCTCCCAAGGAGAGGGTGCTCCTGAGCAATGTGGTGTTCGGCCACAGGATCCAACTAGCATAGTACCTATACTAGTGATGGGTTCTCCTGAACCCCTTGGCTTACTAGGCATCATCGCTCCCAAGGAGAGGGTGCTCCTGAGCGATGTGGTGTTCGGCCACAGGATCCGACTAGCATAGTACCTATACTAGTGATGTAGTGATTGGTTCTACTGAACCTCTTGACGTACTAGGCATCATCGCTCCCAAGGAGTGGGTGCTCCTGAGCAATGTGGTGTTCGGCCGCAGAATCCAACTAGCATAGTATCTATACTAGTGATGGGTTCTCCTGAACCAATTGGCGTACTAGGCATCATCGCTCCCAAGGAGAGGGTGCTCCTGAGCAATGTGGTGTTCGGCTGCAGAATCCGACTAGCATAGTACCTATACTAGTGATGTAGTGATTGGTTCTACTGAACCTCTTGGCGTACTAGACATCATCGCTCCAAAGGAGTGAGTGCTCCTGAACATGGTGTTGTTTGGCCACAGGATCCGACTAGCATAGTACCTATACTAGTGATGTAGTGATTGGTTCTACTGAACCAGTTGGCGTACTAGACATCATCGCTCCCAAGGAGTGGGTGCTCCTGAGCAATGTGGTGTTCGGCCGCAGAATCCAACTAGCATAGTATCTATACTAGTGATGGGTTCTCCTGAACCAGTTGGCGTACTAGGCATCATCGCTCCCAAGGAGAGGGTGCTCCTGAGCAATGTGGTGTTCGGCCTCAGAATCCGACTAGCATAGTACCTATACTAGTGATGTAGTGATTGGTTCTACTGAACCTCTTGATGTACTAGGCATCATCATCGCTCCCAAGGAGTGGGTGCTCCTGAGCAATGTGGTGTTCGTCAAGAGAATCCAACTAGCATAGTATCTATACTAGTGATGGGTTCTCCTGAACCAGTTAGCACTAGGCATCATCGCTCCCAAGGAGAGGGTGCTCCTGAGCAATGTGGTGTTCGGCCGCAGAATCCGACTAGCATAGTACCTATACTAGTGATGTAGTGATTGGTTCTACTGAACCTCTTGGCGTACTAGACATAATCGCTCCCAAGGAGTGAGTGCTCCTGAACATGGTGTTGTTTGGCCACAGGATCCGACTAGCATAGTACCTATACTAGTGATGTAGTGATGGGTTCTCCTGAACCCCTTGGCTTACTAGGCAACATCGCTCCCAAGGAGAGGGTGCTCCTGAGCGATGTGGTGTTCGGCAGCAGGATCCGACTAGCATAGTACCTATACTAATGATGGGTTCTCCTGAACCTCTTGGCTTACTAGGTATCATCGCTCCCAAGGAGTGGGTGCTCCTGAGCAATGTGGTGTTCGGCCGCAACCCTTGCATATGCAAGAAAACGTAACTAGTCATGTCACCTTGCTTCGCCATGATTTATCAGAGTACCCCCATAACTACAACTAGTAATCAGGCCCTTACCTGCTTCGAGACTGCCCCACAGACCCCATCACGAAGAGGGGAAAAGGAAACTGAATCAGAAAACTCACAAGTTTAACTTTCAGTACCAAAACAACACCACATGACTTCCACTGCTTACCACAGTTAGGTCACAACGGTGTGCTAAGGTACTTAGCACACCGAACGCTATGAAATCCATAAGTAAATCGGGAAGGACTCACTACACTGACGTGATTGCTCCGTGGAGTAGAGGTCAGGAAGCGAGATTGTCAAACACTTCTACATCCATAGGGAGCAACGACAAGGTAGGCCGATGACTATCAAGGTCACTACGTGCGATGGTTAATTCAAACCCATTGACTTACTAAGCATAATTGCTCCAGGGGGCCGGGACTCCCAAGCAATGTGGTGTTCAGTCACTACCTTCACGAAAATGAAAGGACGCAGCTTAGCGAGTGTAATCAGTCGCATTACCACGATTGCCAAGGTACCCCCGTAATATAAGTCTAATGACTAGTATCCCCCAGTGGACACCGTCCCGAGGAGGGTGAAAGGGTAATTGAATCGGAAAACTCACAATTTTAACGTTCAGTACCACAACATCATCTTATGACTTCCACTACTTACCACAGTAAGATCACATAGATGTGTAGAGGTACTTATAGCATGAACGCTACGAAGTGTAACATTTCGGGAATGACTCACTTCACTGATGTAATTACTCCACAGAGCAGACGACAGTAAGTGAGGTGGCGGCTCTCCAAAGTCTCAAATTAAATTGAGAGGAGAAATCGAAGTCCCAGAAGAATTGAAGACACAAATCAGAAATAAAATTTAGAATTTTATTCAGATTGTACACAAAGCAGAAACGATCACAACTGGTGATCATCTGCGCTGAAGCTGATGGTTGTCCCGAGTGGCGAACATGTCTACCTCTGGTCGTGATAACAGGTACATCTTTGATTGGAATATCAGAGGCAGTTGTTTCCACTCCATGAGTGACAGGCATTTGAGACGTGACAGGGCATCGGCAATGACATTCCTCATCCTGGGAATGTGTCGGGCTCTGGCCACTGTGTTGAGTGAACTGATCAGATGAAAATTCGAAACATCAACTGAAGCAGAGCTGCTGATCCTGTCGACCCCTGATGGTTTTTGTACAAAATTACCATCGAAATGTCTGATTGAATCAGTATATGAGTGAACCGTAGTCAAATGCCTAATGCCGAACGGCAAGAATGACAGAGATGAATTCCAATTCGTTGATATGAAGGGCCCTTTCTCCTGATGACCATTTTTTCTGCTAGGCCATTTGATGGAGAAGGTGAGCGCCCCAGCTTGAAAGATGTGCCGACGAACAGGTGTTGAGTCGGTATGAAGTGCACCATAGAGACTCCAACGCAAACATTCCACTTGTTGAGCCACCAACGAAAGACTGAATGTAGTTGTGCGGGAAGACGAATCAACTCCCTGGGGTTGTCGTCCCGGATGTATGGGCACAGAAACATCTGAAGAGGGCGAAGCTGCAGCAGGCCCCTGTAAGTCAGTGCTTGTGCCGACGTCAACCACCCTAGGAACTTCTGACACTGGCGAAAAGTTGTGGGTTGGACCAGCACTAGTGGTGCGTTGCACTGAATCTTGTCTCACCTCTCCTGGGGCACAAACATCTTGACCTTTTGTGTTGAATATTGTCCAAATAAAAAGAAATCACCGGTGTTACCTCCGATTTCTCCGAATTCAGCAGCCATCCTAATTGCGCGAGCAGCTTGATGATGAACTGCCTGTGGAGAGGAAGGACGAATGGATCCTGCTTGGCTTGAACACAGTCGTCGATATAGTTCTCGAATGTCACGCCTCGACAATGCAGGTAGCTTGTTATCGGATTGGGTATCTGAGTAAAAAGCCACGGGGACGTACATATGCCAAACAGCAGGACCCTCCATTGGTAACAATGACGCCTCTTGAAAGTAAATCAAAGATACTTCCGATAGTCTGGATGTATCGGGATGTGAAGGTAGGCGTCTCGCAGGTCGAGGGAAATGAGAGGTCTAACAACTCTTGCCTCTGACAAAGAGATATCTCCTGA